ACAGTAACAAAGTTTCAGACTATTTGCACGAAGCAACAGCTTCAGGATATATAATGAAGTGATTCACCTTCTGGACAACAGTAATACTTATAGCTTCTCAGGTATTTTAAACAATACAATCGCTTGTCGATAACGATGGATAAATTTTGCCAAGAATTTAATCGTAATTGAGTAGCTATCTACCATTATAAATATTCTTATAGTTTGCGTCAAATTTCTGGCTTTTAAAAACATCCTTTTGAATTCCAACCTCACAGAGCAGATAAATGTATGAACAAAAAAAAAGTGAGAAATTTGTACCCGCCAGTTTTTTTAAAGGAGAAAAAGTTAAACGCGTAGTTCTGGTGCCCAAAACCGAATATTTGTAGTGCTTCAAAAAGTCAATTTGTAATGATGAACTGCTATGGGTTGTGCATGGTGTACACCTTAACTCAGTTTGTTTTCAAAAAAGTACTCTTTCTGTTCTAATACTGTGGGAAGAAAAAGGGAATGTTTTTTTTATTAATAAAAATAATATTTTCGAAAAATTTTTTTTAAATTGAAGCAATAAGGGATCTTACCGTAATAAGTCAAGATGTGCCACGAAAACAAGCGAACATGAAAAAAAGCCATGTTAGAATCTTTGTCAAAAACTATAGGAGATACAAAAATTATTTTTACACCAGTCATTTCTAGTAATGTTTTAAAATAACAAAAATATCAGCTTTTTAAAGAGTTTAAAGAGTACAAGCAAAGGACCTGATGGACCTCTAGTGCATGATATGTGCTTGTTGCTCTCAACTTTGTTTCGGTCAAGAAACTACACTCTCGGGATTAAAACACACACGTTTAGTTGTTCTTTATACCCCAAAAAAAATTTGGCAACGCTAGTACGAAGGTACATTTTTTTCAACACCCGTTGGTGCATAAATAAAAGACAAGTCAATACAAAAAGAGATTTTAATACCAAAATGTAGGTACGCATATGTCTACTTCTCAACATAATCGCCTTGATGAAGATTGAGGCATTTGTCATACCCGTGGAGAAGCTTTCCAATGCCCTCTTCACAAAATGTTGCAGCGAGTGAATATAAATGAGTCTTAACATTCCTCAATAGTTGGAAAGTGCTGACATAGGTATTCCTTCAATTCGAAAAAAATATAGAAGTCACTCGGTGCTAGATCGGAATTATATGGTAGGTGATCAAAAATGTCCCATTCAAATCCAATAGACAATTTCAATGGGATATTTTTGACCAGCCACCGTATAGTCCCGATCTAGCACCAAATGACTTCCATTTCTTCCCTGAACTGAAGAAATAGCTAGGAGGCCAGCACTTTCCAACTACTGAGGCACTTAAAGACAAGGTCAAGACTGATTGAAATGAGAGTTTAGAAATCCATAAGGACAAAATCAGTTTAATTGTTATAGTTGTTCAAGGACCGTTAGAGTATTTTAGACTAGTAAAAATATAAATTTCGAGATAGTAAAAAAAGGTGGGCACTCATATGTAATATACCTATAGCATGTGTTAGAATTAGTCTTGACTATTGGTTTTTATTTTATTTTTATTTATCGAATTTTGGGAGATATGTCAGATGGAAATGTACTCTATTTTGATATTTAATGTCTTTTATTTGTTACCTACATTCCTCTTCCACTTCAATACAACCCAAATATACCTAACTTTCAACGGACTAGGTTATCCAAACTGTTTATATTCAAGTGCTGTTAAGATAGCAAGTGGTAAAGTACCTAATTTTTGCTTAGAACTATCTATACTAAACATTTCTCTGAAACATCTCAAAAAACAGATACCATCCGCACACCTGAGCATGGACGATTCCGCATTCACCTCTTCGTTTTATGTCTCATAATACGTGTACCCAATTTGGTTCCAATCGGTTCAGCCGTTTAGCTGGAAATGGGACCATTTTTTACCCACCCTTACTAACGTGCAGGTGTTAAAAACATACAAAGGAACTTTCGTCCACTCTCTGTGTTAACATCTACCTTTCTAGTTTTAGTGCTGAAATCTCATTTCGTCTAACGTGTCAAAATTGCGTTTGGGTCGGTGACAACTGCCACTTGTCCCATGTCTCTGTACCTTTATCAGTGTTTAATTAACAATATATAACAACAAAAACGTAATTCCTCCCCCTGAAATTGTCCACCGATATTTCACATTTAAAGGGGAAAAAATGATGCATTTCCGTGCATTGTGCTACACGCGATAGTAGGAAATGTGGGTGTTTCAAAGTCTAGCGAAAGGAGAAGTGGGTTTTAAATCTAAAGGAATTCCTCACTTTTTGTACAGTTTTCTGATAAATATGGCGTTAATAATGTTTATAAGAATGAAATTGTGGTGCTACAGACTTGTGATTGCCCCTGCCATTTGGTTTGAAAGTAAAAAACAGCTTAAGAGCAAGAAATTAAACAGTTGGTTGCTTAAACTTCTGATGCATACCATATATTTGATTAGGCGGTGCGTCAAGATACTTGTTGCCGGAAGGCAGTTTAGTACATTTTCCATTTTTTGAAGTTAGTAAGCAATATAATCGTATGTTTGCTTGTTTCTTCCACGTTTTGCTGGTAAGATGAATGTCAACCGTTTTGTTTGGTGGATATGAACAGATTCATTTTCATTTGATCGCGATTCCAAAACAATCAAAAATCATATTGAACTACAGACTGTATTTACCTCAAAAAAATGAACAATTTTAAAAGTAACACAACCAGTCCTCCACTAGGAAAACATATATGATGTGATTAAGTATCTACATACAATGTTCTATTGATGAAGCCTTCTTTTCTCGAATGAGAGCGAGGTTGGATTTCCTTTGCCATCTCTTCTTTAGAACTATCATGATTGTCAACAAAACCAACAAGAGAAACAGAATAACAAAATCTTTTAGCAATCTCCCCAGTTTGTGCATTACACTGATAGGTTCTATAAAAAATAATTATTACCTATAGGCAACGTAAATTTTCGACATACCTTCCAAATTAACGCTAGCCGCCATTTTCAAAAATGAGTAATTGGTAATAGTAATCTATACGAACACTACAGTAGGTAGTTTATGCTACTAATGAATCATGTGCAGACTGCAGACGCCGAATAGGTTTATAACACCAGGAATGATAAACAATTTAATTGAATACCTTCCGATAACAGTAAATAAACTTTGCGAAATTCATTTTCATTGACTCATTTGCATACGCGACCAATTGAAGTGAAACATAAAAATTATTTTTTAAAATCTTATAAATTATTATTAGGTAAAAATCGTTTGTTTTTGAAGGTGCCATAATGAAGCACCTGTTTCATACTTTGCGTGAAGTATTTCGCTAGAAATACCTGTATAGTAGTGTAAGAATATTGTTCAAGTTCAAGTGGCGCATTTTGTACAACTTTCTCGCAAAAGTACACACAAAAAACAAATCATTTCAATGAAGCAAATTTTGCGTTGACCGAAGCACATATATGTTTGAATAGGGCCAACTACATGTATATTTCAGTCTAAGTGACAATATATTTAGGCTATTACGCAAATTTTTATTAACCCAGACACAAATCAAATTGATTTAACAATTAATTTGGTTTAAGTGAAAAACCTATTTTTTCTGCTAACCTTGCAATTTATTTGGTTTAAATACATTGCGCCTAAATTGAAAGTATCGACGTGTTTGAATTAAAAACCATATTCTAGATCAAAATTTAAAAATATTTAAGCCAAATATATCATGCCTGACTAAACTAAACTTAAACATTGTTCAAGCCATACTTTGAATTGAAGCAATTATTAAATATTTATCCCAAAAGCTACATATTTCTTATTCGAAATGCGTACAGTTGAGACTAAATAATATTTTGGTGACGCAAATATATTATTCTTTGATTTTAATATTGTGCTGTTAAGGGAAATTTCCGTAATATTATCCACAATATCAAAAATTAAATATACCTATAATAAAAATGCAATATGAATATAATTCATTTATTTAGAACTTTTTAGAAACAACTCAGAACACAGTCATAACGTACGGGGTTTTGGGTATCTAGAGGGCCAGAATCGTAATTTTTAAGATTTTTATTTACATACAACCTTTTATTTTGGTTCTCCATAGTTACCGGGCACCCTATGTACAAGAAATAGATATAAGTATAAAAGCTTAAAAATATAAAATTCCACATATGATGAAGGAATAAGAACTTACAAATAATTCTCTCAGAAGTACATCCTACATAAAAACGGCAGGTAACTTAAAAATATAAAACCAAACTAAAACACTCAGGGTGAAACGCACTATCTACGCACTTGCAAGAAATTTTTTCGGTGTCGCAACGCAAAACTTCGAACATGTGAAGAGCAACCGAGTCGAATTTTACGACATGTTTTTATTGGAGGGGGAAATATTTATGCACCCATGCGATTGAAATGAATTCATTTCATTCCAGAGATTTATTTAGTTACTTGGCTCAAAACGTCAAGTTTTTTATATTAAATACAGGAAAAGTTAAATTCATGTACTGGTTTATTATGTTACACAAATGAAAAACATGTTTAAGCGAATTGTGTGGATATTTATGTGAAACTCCTCAAAGCAAATTGCTTGAGTCAAAATATAATATTTTTGAATCAAAGTTAATCCAAGTCAAATATTTTGTGACGAAACATCAATTACATCGATTTATTTGAGTCAAAATAATTATTTTTGATTTAAATCTAATTTGATTATTTTAAATTAGTCTTTACTTCTTTTAAAGAAATACGGGTCAAATACATGATGAATTTGTCGTTAAAGTACGATTTTTTTCTGTGTAGTAGTAATAGGTAGAGAGCCATCCAAAAATTTGTGGGTAATAATCTGTTTTACAATATGATTACTTCCTCTGCTGACGCGTCGTTCGCATCAGAACGATATTTTGGAATTATTCAAAATGATACCTTGAGTATTTTTATATATTTATGGATATGGGTAGTTGATAAAGAAAGATAGTATCAAAAGCAATTCTTACTTGGTTTTACCACGGTACTCGGTTTGAAAAAGACTCTGAAGAATAACCTTCTTCTTTAGACCAATTTCGCGACGACTGTTACAAGGCCCCTAAGTTGAACAGACAAAAATATATTAGGTAAAAATTAAATCATACTAATGATAATACTTACATTTTTACCATAAAACATCGAATCCTGAATTACTCCCACCGAATTCGACGATTGCTCCTATACCATTTTGCCTAGACAGAGAATATTCTGATTTATAATTAATCATATTAATATTGCTGCTTACCTTATCTACAGTAATTGGAAACACTGTATTACGTTATAGTAAAATCGCCGCTGCCTACTGCGTTTTACAAAGGCTTGTATTGAACACAGACACAAAAATAAAACACAAAGTTATGATAATAATCTGTTATATTTATATTTCATATAAAAGTTGTGCAAATGACTGTTCGTGCTTGCCTTTGGGGAAGAACTATCAAGAAACCTCGGTTTCACAACAGTAGCAATAGCTACAGTTACCTACAGCAATCTTGCATATTCCGTAGCTCCCTGAATCGTAGCACAGCAAGTACTTCCACTGTGTTAACATTGCATCTCTGATCTCTCCCTTTATTTGGGTCCTCTTCGGAATTAACGACGATCACTATACCAGTCCAGGGTTACTTGCCTCTCTATTATAAAAACAAAACAACAATTCATACCAAGTTAGGAGGCATGAGATCCCAGTAAACCCTTAGTTCTAAGTCTAACCTTTGTCGATGGTAACTGAAGCCTTCTGTGCAATGGGGTGAATCAAGTGGTCTCACTGCACCATGATCCCGGGCCGCCAGTCTTCAGTTGGATCCATTTCCTAACGATAACCAGTTGATCAAACTCTGCAAAGAAGATACAGATTTAGAATTGTTTTTAAGTTAATACGGACACTGCCTAAAAAAATATAGGTAGACTCGAGTGTTATTACACTCCATTAATTCAAACTATATGGAAGTGTGCTTGGGTGTTATACTTATACAAGGGTTTTATACGCTTTAGCAAATATTTAAAGCCCTATTAGTTCTACGAGTGAATTGGCGCCCCTTGCAGTGGCTTGAATGCATTCCATAAAACCATTGTTCTAAAAAGAAATGCAAAACAGAATTTAATTGTAAAAACGTGAAATATAATAAATAAATAATAAATTTCCATTGGAAGCGTCGCCCATTACATCTGGCCTCGTTCCAGCGTTATATGGCGATACTTACTGTTTGTTGGTTATTCGTTTTCCTAGGCATTCCACAAAATTAGGCCTCCCCACACCAAGGTCCAAATGTCTGCAAACGGTATCAAAAATATGGTTCTGTTCTATAACTGAACTGTATTTCTTTATTGTCATATTTGCCGCAGATTCAGCTACTGCACCACTTGTTTTACTTCACAAATTAACATGGGATGGTGCTCCAGGTGCTGCAAGCTGTAAATCCGGTCCCGCAAAGCTTACTTTCTATATTGCATATCTTGAACAATTAATCGCCTATTAGATCTTTGAGTGTAGGTATCATCAAATCTTCGGAATTCAAAACCTTGACTTCTCAAATCACTTAAATTACACTTATTTAAATAATTCAGGTTTTTTTCCATCAGAAATAAATTAAGCTTGAGAACAACATGCAATTTTTAATTTGTTTCTCCATGTAATATAACGCTAGATGGGACTTCGGTGGTCTTTTTGGTCTTGGATGTTTCACCTGCAAATAAAAAAAATAATATGAGCAATCTACTTTAGCCACTTTGAGTAATGTGTGAAAGTAACATCGCAGGGCCTTCGAGAGAGGGGGGCAACAGATGCAATATCCCCGGACTCCAACGCCCGAAAGGCCCCGTGCAGCGTCGTTGTACTTCCGATATGATTGATATCCAGTGATTTTTTGCCATAAGTCAAGACTATTAACTTAACACATCGACAGTTACAAAACTGTGAAAATAGATGAAACTCGACAGGGGTTGTAAAATTTAAAAACTTTGAGGTTTTCAACCGTCTAAAATATAGTTTTTATAACCCTTCATTGATCCCGATATTTTCAGTTTTTTTGCTCGTTTGAAACTCATACCGCTCTCCCGGGAGTTGGGAAACGCTGTATACTTATAATAGATAGGTACATTAAAATATGCATTAAAAAGATATGTTTACATAGAGATTACTACTTTTTTTTACTTCCATATACAAATAAGGTTATTATAGTAGTCTTACTAAGTTACTCGACGAACCCTGGGAATATAGCGCATAACACAAATAAAAGAATAAAATCGTTTGTCTCTACTAGACAGGACAAGAAATTTAAAAAGAGCTATATTCACGAAGTTGTCGGCATTTGTGCGGAAAAGTGGGCATCCGTTGTTTTTACCATAATTCGAGTAGGTATGATGAATCCGAATCAGTAGAATGCCCAGCTGAATTTGTCTTGACCGAAAATTCGGCAAAACAAAATGGCGGCCAAACGTTTTTCGTTATAACTTGAAAACTGTTAAAGATAATTTGATAAAACAAATCAAAATAATAAAGCACATTCCGACAATTGGAAATCGCATCATACATTTTAATTTTCCTCGATTGTTTAGTGTACAGTGTGTTTCAAATGCCGCTTTTATTATTAACTTCGTGGATTTTTAACAACAATAATAATACGGAACCGTAAGTTTAATAAATTAAACAAATATAGCAAAGGAGCTCCTTGCGCTAAAGCCTCATTTTGAATTTCATACAATTTGGTTCATACCTAACGGAGACGTCAAAAAGTCCGTCCTCATTTTTTGGCCTACATTGCCAATTCACGAACTCCGATCTATGAATTTGATAAAGAACCCACCTGCAACATATAATCATAATCGGTCTATTCGTTTTCAAGACGTCATGCTAACGGACAGGCAGATGGACAGACACCGCAAAATTATGAACTCGCTAGGAGCTCGAACCTTTATATGTACATGGAAAACAATGACCATGTAATTTAATCTCTTGAATATCTTCATGGGCCTCAATTATCTGTCTTTCAAGAAATGAGCGATCAGCTTTCAGAATAGTATCCTTCTCCTTAGCAGCACTATTAACAGGGTGGTTAAATTCGAGGCTCACCATTTGGATCTCCGCAACAGTGAGAGATACAATGTAGGTTAAATGGGGGCAAAATTGCTCCTTTTTGGGACTACAAAAACGCATTTGAAATTCTTGAAAAATCTTTGAAACTAACAAGATATCAACGAAAAGCTGAAAATGAGCATATGCTTAAGCGGTAGAACGGTTCCCGCTAAGGCATCTGAATTTGTTATCAGAGTTTCCATAGCACGATAGATCTAGAAGCTACAGGCTAGTACTTCTTTATTTCTTATGGACGCCATATTGGACTTTTATGGAACGAGTTAGAGGACAAAAAAGAAATTCGTTTGAATGCATCGCCATCATATAGCTATGTTGGTTTAGCAAAATAAAAAAACGTGCGCATTCCTCCCCATTGGTTGACAGATAAGTGAATGCCAATTTTTTCGTAGGGAACTTTCTACAAGAAATTAGAAACCTATTTTGGGGGAGTGTTAAAGGAGTTTTTTAAATTTCAACTGCTGATCTCACCCCCTTGGACGGTCTTTGAACGAATGCCAATTTTTACACATGCTCCAGGCTGATTGCAACCTTCTAAAAGGAATTCTATTCTGAAACCTCTCCTGTACGGGTGGTGAATGTACTTTTTTAAAGAATGAGGGCGGATTTCGCCGTCTGAAACGGTCACTAAGTGAAGACACTCGGGCTAAATCGAAACGTGTTGAACGAAATTAGAAACCATTTTTGTAGGTGCTAAGTTTATTAAGCGGCAGAGCTAAGCGATGCGAGCTTTATAGGGGAGTCGATGGTGTCCGTTTGTCCGTCCGTGAACACGATAACTGTCAAACGCTTAAACCGATTCGGTTTAAACTTTGCACAGTTCACCTTACCCTATGCCACATTTAAAAAGCCTTTTGACAGTGGGTCAAATCCAATTTATTTGTTTATTTATTTTATTTATTACCCCTCTCTTGTTCTGGGGCCTCAACAGGCTTGTGCCCAATCAGATTGACCCGGATAATGCTTTTTAGAGGTGCCTCTGCAGAAGGTCTTAAGTTGTTCTATACTATTCTGATATTTACCTTACGAATTAGGAAAACTGCAGGAATACCTAATTCGGAGTAGCAGGCAGAAAGCTCGAAACTGGTGTAAGGTAATTCCCATCTCTGCCACAGATGAAAAATTCACCTCAACCTTTGAATATAAAATTTTATTTTCAAAGCCTCAACCCAGGTTCGAAACCCGACCTCCGGATTTATAGTCTAACGGTCTACCACTGAACCATAAAGCCGGTGACCCCATAGGGTCATACCGAGGTGCCCTGCCGCTTTAGGGGTTTATTTTTTAAACTTCAAAGGGCTAAGTGAATACTAATCCTTTTGGGCGCACTAGAAATTAATCGTAATCCTCCAAAAGGAATTATAATTTGAAAGTTTATAATGGTACATTTTGAAACTTAAGGGTTGATTTTATCCATTTTGAATGGTTTGGTGTAATAGTAGAATCTTAGGATTTCAGCAATCGCTATTGAAACTTCTTCCGTGTAAATATTCCAATCGAAACAATTCACCTATATAAAAAATAAATAAATAACCTCCGCCACTGGACGTGCGGGTATTTTGAAAGAATGAGTCATTGTTTAAACTAGGTTTTTCAAAATGTAGTTGTAGTAGGTATAAAAGTGTTATCAATCAATATCCGCTTAGTAAAACATCAAACACAGGGGAAATTGCGCTCGGATAGCGGTTCTTTGTAAATGCAACAGCCGAAAAGTGCGTAATCGCAATAAAATATTAGCAATTCATGTTCTATGTGGAAAATAAATTGAAGAGTAAGATCTTTTTTTAAACAAAAATTGATTTGGGCTAACAACTAAGAGGTTGCCGATTCATTTTTTCTCAAAGGTATACCAACAACACTGGAAGCAATGGAACCCTATAAAGGTGCTGAAGTGCTGAAAATAGGCACGTTAAGAATATCTTTAAAACTCGTGGATTTTAATTTGGAAAACATATTCCTACCTATTCATTGCGAAAGGGGATTTAATTTACAGATGGGTACCTACAAATTAATTTCGATTGTGGCCAAATGAGAGCAAATTTTACAAAACGGCGGCATTTCTAAAAAAAAAGTGTCTCTAGCCCATAAGTGGCGAAGGCCCTGGATTAGAATAAAAATGCGACACTAACACACACACATATAAAATTAGGGTTGCAAATTCCAAAAATAACATAGAAGTCATTTAGGTTTCTTCAACATAATTTTTTGCTCAAAAAACAAAATACTTACGTGAACAAGCGGTTTTAGGGGCTTCGTGAGGACGATCAAACTAGCGCACTGTTCTGCGTCGAAAACACTAATATATTACAACTAATTTGGGAATACGGCTTCGCTATCGCAGATAACAGTGGTACGTCACGTGTACCCAACAGGTTGCCGAATTGTCTTTTATCTTCAAAATTGAAAAGAGAAATCGTTTTAGTCATAACGTTGACTGATAATCCTTTATTTAACGGTCATAATCAGTTTATTTGAGTAATTTCCTCAAAATTCCTCTCGACTTATATTTTACTACGTAATCATTCGATATAGCATATAATGTGCTTATTTAGGGAAAAGGTGAAAGGTGGAAAAATGGTTCTCAACCACTTTCTGTGGAGTTGTAATTTACCCGTCGATAATGAAAACAGATTTTTCGCGGAGATTTAACACTCTTGGCATTCGATCATGTCATCAAAATTTCTTCGCTATTTGGATATTTAGGGACACGTTTGGTGCCGAAAACGACGACAATGTTGAACTATTTACTAACGTCCTAGAACAAAAAGAGATTGTCGGTGGAAGGTCGGATTTATTTGGCACCCACATTGTCATAAAAAAATTAATTATCAAAGTCCTCGTGTGAGATCGAAGGGACTGCAGCCCATTTTTGTGGTGTGACAGATCAGTATTCTATTAGCCAGTTTTGACTCCACCATCAGTAAGATCTTGTCGAGGACTACCACATTTCTTTTGTCGGTACCCACTTCCCAAACTTTGAATTTGGACATTCCTCACCTCAACTAGATGTGGGATTGTTTCTTTATAGGATGTCCGCAGCAGGCCGGATTGTGTTCTGGGTTCCATTGGTGTAGCATGTAAGTTTGCATCTTCCATGTTTTCTTCTTACACGATTTAATTTGACCCACATTTTTCTTGGAAGATCAAGCCCTGCAACTTCATTGGACGGTTCTTTGATTAAATGTTGATTAAAAATTGTGTTATCCAAAAAGTTTTCCAACGTTCCTTAATAGAATATACATTTGAATCGTATGTAGTCTTCCTTCCATAAAAGGTTTCGTGATTTTAATCGATAAAAAGGTAAATATTATTCAGATCTAAATTCAATTGCTGATGCTGATGACATAAGTTTGTGGTAACAGGGAGTAAGTACTTACACTAGAAAACCTAACAAATAAAGTATCAGAAATCCTGTCTAAGGCGCAGTGCTGATTTACGAAAATAAAATGGCACTTAATGTAGATAAAAACGTTTCGGCACAATAGCTAGAGGTCCCCTTCAAATAGTTTTTTCGTTGGGCGCGAGAAAGGAACCTTGGTAAAGTCGTGCGAAATTGCTTTTTTGCGATAATTCAAATATGGCTGCCGACATTTTCAGACTGCAAAAAAAGGCAATTCGTATATGTATTAGCTGGTATTGGTGTGCGAGAATCTTGTTCTCATTTCAAAAATCTAAAAATTCCACTATAATGTACAATTTATTTATTTGTGAATGCACCCAAGAACAATTCACACCTATAACACCAGATCAAATAACAAAATTAGAAGGGAGACCTCAAAATCAACAATAATGGGAAATATATTACAAACCAGGCAATCACTTACCAAAATCAAGTCTCTAGACCAGAATTTAAAAGTAAAATTAGTACCTAAATACTTCGAAGACATTTGCTTTTTACTCCACGCAAGAGCTCATAATATTCCTTAGTATATTCTTTAGTATGTGACAAATTCGTACCATAATCGTTTGTATATCAAGATCCCATTCCCATTAGGTATGTGTTTTTACTGGAATAAATTTGAAACCTGTGGAGCGGTGGACCTATGTGGGGATGCCAAGCGAAGTCGAACGTGAAGTATATAGCTCTCTTTCCAGATAGTCGAGCAGAAGAACGCATTTCCTGTCCCAAAATACCAAAGCTAAACACTTGGAGAGCAGGAATGCCTCCATTGTTTTGATTATTCCGTAATCTGTGGCGTGAAGTAGTGGACTCAAGCATCGTCTCCCGTTACAAATGAATCTAAAAACTCCTTCCCTCTACGGCGCAGAAAACCTTTTCGATGACGCTTCTTCTTTGTGTTCATCAGGGAGCATCCGCGTGAGGCACCTGGCACACAGACCTCGTGAACTTTAAAATATTCACCAAAATCTTGTCTACGGTAATCGTAGAGTCTCCTATCTGTTCGGCAATCTCTCATACTTACAGTCACACGCCGATCGCAATCAAAAGCTAAGTACTGACACCTATACCATATATCTGTGGTACTGAATTTTCGTCGCCCGCTGCCCCTGACCATGCACTTTTTTCCATACACATATGTCAACTGGCGTTACTGGCGATGGATTTCAATAGGAGGTTGACTAATGAATGTTCAGTGTTATTACTTATTATTTTATTACCTACTGTAATTGATACTCTCCTAATACCTGCTTGCCAGTTCACATTAAGTATATTACTAGCAGAGCTGGGCAGTATTCGATTTTGTAAATACTTTTTAGTATTCAAATCCTTTAAAGTATTCAAATACTTTGTCATTAAATACTTTTATGGAAGCAGTACTTGTATTTGTAACTCAAATACTACTTTCACAAATATTTAGTACCTATTCGAGTACTTCGCAAAGTATTTGGATACTTCGTAAAGTATTCGAATACTTCGCAAGATATTTGAATACTTTGAGAAGTATTTGAATACTTCGTATAGTATTTGAATACTTCGTATAGTATTTGAATACTTAACCTTCCTTTTTTTTACCAAAATTGACTACTCCAAAATTTATCGGGAGAACACTTTTGATCTAGTAGCCCAATCTTGGAACTGTTTGAAATTATGGATTCTACAGGCCACATTCTATAAGAAATTTTTTTTTCCGGGTCGATCTGAGACAATTTTTTTTTTGGAGCTCAAAAAAAGGCAGTGTATTACCTTCCTTTTTTACCAAAAATCGACTACACCAAAATTTCTCGGGAAAACACTTTTTCTTATTAATTTTGGTGCGTAGAATCCGAAACAATTCGTACTTTTTCGATCAGACTTCTCAATCAAAAGTTATAGACTAGAACCAAATTCAAAGGGCTGTAACTTTTGAACTAGTAGCCCAATCTGGGAACTGTTTGAAATTATGGATTCTACAGGCCACATTCTATAAGAAAATTTTTTTCCAGGCCGATCTGAGACAATTTTTTTCCGGCCTCAAAAAACGCAGTACCTACTTTTAAGTTATTAAAATATTTGAGAACAATTTAGAAATGTTTAGGGAAAGTTTCTATTGTCACAAAATCAAATATAAAAATCCGATACAACTGAATACCGAACGATCCTGGAGTGAAACTTTTTGACTCGATAGTCTACGTAACTTAATAACAATAGGGACCTTTCTTATATCCTTAAGACCATGTGTACCAATTTTCAAAGCGATCGCACGTTTCTAAACAAACTATCATGCGCACGGACAAACGGATGGTCAAAAATGGATCTGTTCCAAAATCGCTAGGATTAATTTCAGAAAAGCGCACGTATCATGTGCACGACGTACGATCGCTTTGAAAACTGGTACACGTATTCTTAAGGATATAACTGGTATAAGAAAGGTCCTGGTAGGTACCTCCTCTATAATAATATAATAATAATAATACGCTTTTATTCCCCTTAAATTTGTATATAACAATAGAAATATAAAAAAAGCTAACCCCATGCAAAGTATAACTTGATTTTTTAAGTAGTATTACGACTTTTATCTAGTATACTATTTTAAATTTTTAATGTATTCGAATACTTTTCAAAGTAAGTTAATGAATACTTTTCAAAGTATTCGAATACCTTTGATTATATTAGAATACTTATTTTTTAAAGTATTTGAATACTTTTTGTTATGTATGCCGAAATGGCAGGGTGTAAATAAAAGGCATAAATCAATGTTTCGTTTATTCTTCACACGCCTTGTTACGTACTCGTCGAAAGTCGGGTTGGGAGAGAGCGATTTTGCTTGTCAACGGTCCGTACATGTTATCGTTCTTTTATACCGGATGCGTCAACATAACACACCTCCCCATATAAGTCTAAAATTACAAATCAAGCCGATCTGGCTTTTTCCTTACTCTAACTGGTCGGGAGTGAGCGTGGGTCAACACCGGATTATTTATTTGAATATTCGTTTGAGCCACATTCACTTCTGAACCTGATACTGTATTATCATGTAATGGAACAATCGTGTACTTAAAATTATCTGAACAATTTGTAGAGATCAAAGGTTTATTATCGGTAGTAGTAGTAGGAATGCTCCGTAAAATCTGGTCTAAATGTCTCTTGTACATTCCCTTTGAATTTTTACATAGGTAAACCCTAGGTCCCAGTACTTTGTGAATCTTTGCTGGTATCCAGCTCTTTTTATTTATATTGCTATAGTCGCGGATGTAAACATCCTCCCCCTGTTCAAAACTTATGGCTCTTCCGGGCTTACAAATAGTTAATTCTTCTGAATCTGTCTTATATTTTGGTCTGACATTACTGAGCCTTAATTTCAGTTCCCTTCCAAACATAATACTAGCTGGAGACTTATTTGTCGTGCCATGATCAGCAGCTCTATAATTGAGCAAATACCTAGCCAATAAACAGCTCGTAGAAATATTTGAATTTCTACCATCGCTGAAAGCTTTTATTAACGCGGTTTTGACTGCCTTTACGGCATTTTCCGCTGCCCCATTACTAGCAGGATGGAACGGTGGTGTCAATGTGTGTTTTATGCCGTTATTTCTGCAAAAATTTTCAAATTCATAAGATCGGAACTGTGGTCCATTGTCGCTTACCAGCTGATCTGGTAGCCCATATCTCGCAAAAATCGATCTTAATGCCTCGATCGTTGCTAAGGAAGTAGTTGAACACATTTCAATTACTTCCGGCCAACGACTACATGCATCTAGCACTACAAGAAACATTTTATTCCTTACAGGACCAAAAAAATCTACATGAATTCTCTCAAACACCTGCTTGGCTTGTTTATATGCTAAAACTTCTGCAAGTGGAGGATTGGGTTTAAACTTGTTGCAAATTACACACTGTTTAGCTACTC